TTTTGAATATTTGGAAAAACATAATGAAAAACAAGCTACATTGATCTTCTTGATCTTCTTAGATGCAGAAAAGGCCTTTGGTAATTTGAATTGAGCTTCTTTGCTCATTTGAAAGATACAAATTTTGGAGAGAACTACGGGTAATACTTGACTTACAATCACAGTTGAACCCAAAATTTCCGCTGCTAAGTGAAACAGTTGTTAAGTGAGTTTTGCCCCATTTTACGACCTGTCTTGCCACAGTTGTTAAGTTAGTAACACAGTTGTTAAGTGAATCTGGCTTCCCTGTTGACTTTGCTTGTCAGAAGGACTGGGATATGGAAATTGTCATAAATATGAGTCTGTTGCCAACCATCTAAATTTTTATCACATGAACATGAGCACGCTGCAATGGTGGTAAGTGTGAAAAATGGTCATAAGTCATTTTTTTCAGTGCCATTGTAACTTTGAACCATCACTAAATGGACTGTTGTCAGCTGAGGACTACTTGTATATAAAATCGGTAAAATTGATTTACACTTCATAGATTGTTAATGGAGATTTAACAAAACCTTGTAATACAAAAAGGAAAAAACAGAGATGACTACACTCTTCTCTCATTTATTTTGGTTCTTGAAGTACAAGAGATATAAGTCAAGATGAGATGATTGTAAGTGTAAAGAGTAAAAGAAGAACCTTATTAGTTAAGGGCTTTTGCAGATGGCTTGGTATTGGGTCTAGAAATTTTTTAAAAGGGAATTAAAATATTAATGAGACAATTAAAAGAATTTGGTGTATTAGCAGGTTTCAGGATGAGTAAACTGAAAAGGAAGATGTTGAGAAAAATATGAAAATAACAGATCAAACAGAATTGATGGATACAATTGGTTTTAAAATTGAAAAAAGTGAAATATCTGGATATCACTATAATACATATGAATTGTACTGCATGTTATTTCAGAATTTTTTATTTTATTTTATTATTTTATTAATCAAATTTATATGCTGCCAATGTCTCCAATAGGCCAGCTCTGGGGGGGGCTCAATATTGAGACATGGAATGAAATATAAAAAGATATATTTGATTTGATTTGATTGATTATTTGTTCCCTATGACTATCATTAAGTGTTGGAAGTGTTGTACCTTATGATTCTTGACGAATGCATCTTTTCTTTTATGTACACTGAGAGCGTATGCACCAAGTCAAATTCCTTGTGTGTCCAATCACACTTGGCCAATAAAGAATTCTATTCTATTCTATTCTATATTAAGATGGGGGGGGATTATAGTTGTCATTGGGGAGGAGCATTTTTGTGGTAAAAATGAATATCTTACCTAGAATTTTCATTTCAGACAATACTGTGTATAAACTCTTATTGAAATTTGAAACAGAGGAACAAGGGGGGTAATTTTTTTTGTTGTTGTTATAATATACACAGGAAATAGAAAATATATAGCTGAAAATATTAAAATTCACATTATGCTATCATATTAAAGAGATTTTTTATAAAATGATGTATAATTATATATGTCATCAAAGAAATTGTCTAGCATGTATTAAGGCACTTCAAATTTATGTTTGAAATGTGAAAAACAAGAAGGGACTTTTTATCGTGTTTGCTGAATGTGTTAAAAAGCTAGAAAATTTTGGGTTCAAATACTTGTATTGATTTAGGGATTTCAAAGATTAATATACAAGGTTTATTCTTTTTGTTTTGGAATTCAATGGCAAAGTTGGAAAAGAATGATGGAACTTTGTACATGATAACTACAGCAAAATTATTTTTAATTTTTTTTAATTAATTTTACAACAACAACACAACACAACATACAAAACACAAACACACAATATGTGTTTCTTTTTAGCAAAATTATTATATACGCACAAAGAAGGAAAGATTTGGCATTAAGATTTTTTTAATATTTTGATGAGTAGACAGGATAGATTATAGAAAGAGGACAATTATAACTATAAAATAACTTTTATAATTATACTTACAGCTGTCATATTTTTGTAATCCTGGAAATTAGTACTCATAAAAGTTAAACCAACTGTCTGCTATCACATCCAATCTATCCTAGCAAAATAGTGCTTGCTTTCTATTTGCTATTCAGATTTAATTTGAATTTAATAGCCCTAGCATATATCTTGTTCTGTAACTAACAACTTGATCATTTACAAGTGGAGCTATGGAAATATTTCAAAGTTTGCCACATTCTTCAGGCATAAAAAGAGATTGGCTGTATGTATTACATTTTTAATTCAACTTGGTGGCTACTGAATATCTTTGAACAGAAAGAATTTTATATGCTCTTATCTGCTCCTTTACATATTGCACTGAGTTGTTTTGATTGTGAAAATAATTTTAATTTCAGAGCAATACAAGTATAACAAACAAGCAAGCACATGCGATTTGGGTACATAAAACATAATTTAGGCTTAGCTCCAGGTGTGAAACAGACATGATGGTTTATTTAATATGCTCTAGATAGAAGAAATAATATATTTCTTAGTATGTGAAACCTGACAATACATCTTACATTCCTCGTTCCTATGTAACAATCAATATTAACCTTGCACAATGGGGAGTGACCCAATAGTGGTTTTCACTTACCTTCGCTACCAGTTCGGAACTGTAAGCGTGCGCGTGTGATCACTTTGCTTGCGCGCAGCGCGTCTGCGCATGCGCAGAGCATCTGTGATGACGTCTGGGTGGGTGGGCGGAGCCTCCCGCCACCACCACTACTGGTTCATCCAAACCGGGGCAAACCGGTAGAAACCCACCACTGGAGTGTCCCCAATCTGTTCTTTCATTAAGCATTATACAAAAGCCTACAAGACATTTTCTTACTTTCCTATACAGAGGTTTCATAATTAAGTAACATCACTTATCTGCATGTCTATGGAGATTCTCAGACATCCAGGTCATGGTTGTCCCAAAGGTGCTTTTTTCAAGAAGCAACTGGACTTTCTGGTTTTTCTTCAGACCTGAAGAAACTTCTTGGATGAGAAGCAAAACACCTTCAAAGAAAAACCAGAAGTCCAGTTGCCTCTTGAAAAAAGCACCTTTGGGATCACTTATCTACCATCCATCATTCTATATTGTCTATTGAATATTTTATGACAGCAATGGGTTAATGAACTAACATGAACCTGAAAGATTCATCCAAAAGGTGAGTGACAGCGCTGTAGTAAATGCGCACAGGGACTGATCTATAATGCTGTTTATTTTTGGCTTTGGTAGGTCCATATGCTACCCTGTAGTTCATGATATCAGTGTTCCAATATTTGAGGGGCTGCCACAAAGAAGAGGGTATTAACCTATTCTCCAAAGCACCTGAATATAGGACAAGAAGAAATGGATGAAAACAAATCAAGGAGAGAAACAACCTAAAAATAAGGATATATTTCCTGACAGAACAATCCATCAGTGGAACGGCTTGCCTCCATCACTGGAGGTTTTTAAGAAGAGATTGGACAGACATTTATCTGAAATGATATAGGTCTTTTGCTTGAGCAGGACTGGACTGGAAGACCTCCAAGGTCCCTTCCAACTCTGTCATTCTTTTCTGTTTTGTTCTGTTCTGTTCTGTTCTGTTCTGTTCTATTCTATTCACATCAACATTTCAGGGAGCCTATTACAGTATTTTGTGTTCCTATTTTTTAACAAATTACTTTGACATACTTTCTGCATGTATTGCTTTAAAAAAAATATTTTTATTGCGATGATTTTCCTTAAAGCTTTTAAAAAATATTTTTCTGTAAATTGTTCTGAATTCCCCTGGAAGAGTAGTTTAGAAATAAAACAAATACATAAATTTCCTGTAGGACAGGTTTTTTGCTATTTTGTAAAGGATAGGACCATTAGATCTGGCATATAAAAGTTCAGATAAGTACATGATTGTAGCAAAGATACAGAAAACATAACCTACGTTTAAAAGTCATCTGGATTTTTAAAAACTTTTTAAAAATTAAAATTGTAAAATAAGTGTATCAAGCCTCTATTAGGTTTAATTTTACTACACATTTACCACCAAGCCCCCCTTCCCCAAGAAAAAATGTAAAGGCTAAAATTCTGGCTCAATTAACTATAGTGATGTCACTTTGTCATGGTTAACCAAAAAAAATCCTGCTATATTTTTAAAGTGCAGCTATCAACTGCAGAAACAGAAATGGCATTCCTCCCCCACTTTATTGCTTTGGTGAATCAGGCAATTGAGATTTACTAAGTACGAATGTGGTTCAGTGAACAATCACTTAGATCCTATAAATCATCATAATTTGTTTCGTTGCAGCTGATTATATGCCTCAGAGATCTATGGAGACTAACGTCTCTACATTTGCTCTACAATACATAATTCACAAGTGACCTCTGGCCCACTGGCCTTGCAAAGCATTTAGAAAGTTGGCTTTAGGTAATTTGGCTACACTCTTCTTCTAAACCTTTCCCCCCTCCCCTTACAAATTCCATAAATTGCTATGGAACTCATCCAAAAACCATATACTTAAATTGTTTCTCAGTTTATGTAGTATGGATAGATATCCAGCACCACCAATCCATAAATATGAAACAATTGTTCTAAGTATTTCTTGTTATGTTTGTCACCGTTTTAATCTCAGTTTATGAGGCTAACCAAAGTACTGTAGGTTTAAAGGGCTGCAAGTAAAACCTCTGCTCCAGAACGATCCCTCTTCAAAGTTGGTTAAAGTTTTGAATGAAAAAGCTTCTCAAAGCCTTTCTAATGTAGAGAAAATCCTGGTTAAAACAGCATAGTACAGCTAGGAACTGTTTTGTCTTAAAAGAGAAAGAACAAGTGCAGTGTCTTCACTGGAGAATGCCCTTCTTATCTCACATGTTAATGTAAACAAGGTAACAATAAAGAACAAGATTTATTTTTAACTTGGCTTGGCCAAAGCTCTGTTGCAATGACTAAAGGTGACAGTTTAGAGAAATATTAATCAGATACATCTATTTAAAGCTGAATCAATTTTCTTTTTTATTATTTTTCTGCAGAAAAGCTAAGTTGCCAACCCAGGACAATGAAGATAATCAGAGAACTCTTGGTTTACCGCCGGTTCTTTCTTACTGTTTTTACTCCTCTTCTACTGCTTCCACTGCCTCTCATCATCAGAACCAAAGTAAGTGAGAACGGCAGAGCCTTTTCAGCTTGCGGCTGTTTAGATATGCTTGACTGCACCTGACATGGCCAGCATAGCGAGATGCATCGATTGGGAAAAACTGGGCTGTATATTGACGTTGAATTATTTTACCTGGCTATATCACTGACTTCTGGTATTTTATGCCCTATTGATCTCAGAATGAAATTCCGTACAACATTATAATGTATGTGACTGGAAAATGATCAAGGCTCTTTTTCTGATTTTTCTTAATGTGATTTTAATGGATAAACTGAGAAGTCATCAATCAAAATATTTCATATCTTTTGAAATCACAGCTCCTCACAAAAATCCTAGAGGCTATGAATTACATGTATCTTTATGTTTTAGTATGTGGGCATTTGAAGCCAATATGATTTGTAAATCATGGCTTATGACAGGTTTTTGTAGAAACCCATTCAATTATGGTTTAATTAGTAAAGTATGGTTAAAGTAAACCTTGACATACTGTGTGAGCCTTATCACAAACCTAAAGTATGTTTAGTTGTGGATAGAAAATTACTAAAAACTATGGAAGTTTCAAATTACAACTAAGGCAACAAGACTGAAAAAAAAAACCTTACAGAGGAGATCCTTCATTTTGAAAGTATAAAATTCAGTAGGAATGTCAGTAATCCTGTCTTAATAGAACAAAATAGATAAAAAGATGAAAATCATTTTTACAATTGCTATCATATATTCCAAGGGATATCCCCTAGCCTGATTCCTAGTTTCCACATTCAGATAGGGCAGAATTTTTAAAATATGACAGAGGAACATCATACGAACCCTTCTTCGCCCAAAGAAGATATTTTCATGAATCTGAATAAATTCTAATTTGTAATATTTGTATTCACAAAAAAGGAATATAGCATATTCCTTTGGGATATATGCAAGCTTCAAGCGTTCTTTCTTGGACCATGTTTTATTTTCCTTTGAAACAGCTGCATTTTCTTCATGCTTCTCCTACATACTTGTTCTCTAGAGAGTTTTCTCATCAGCCTTTCCCTCTTAAAGTGCCTTCCACTTATTTTGATTTCAAAACAAAGTGCTACATCTATGGGCCATTGTATGAAGGTTGCTGAAAGATGGAATTCAGCAGGTATTGATTTTTTTAATGCATTAGATGCTTTCAATATTAATTGATCAATACCTTCAGTAACAGTACAGAGATTGCATATGAACGCAACATTTTCTATTTAACATCTTTTGATGACAGAAGATTAAACTAAGTAGATATCAGCAGCTTGTTAACTGGACAAGTGTGGCTTTTTATCTGGCAATATAATCAAGGCACTTGTCAGATGTTAATAATGTTAATGAGTAAATTTTGGACTCCATGAAATTCTACAACAAAACTTGATTTTTGAGAAGTTGCCGACTGTCATCCTGGTCAATGACTATGGCAGTTTGATTAGCTATACACTTTCCCCCAACTTTTTATGTCTATATATTTTCACAGTACTGCACAGTTCCTTTAAGTTCTAAAGGAGGAATATAAATCTCCCCTAATGCAGATTTTCTCCCCATCATAATTAGTCATAACAGCATTTTCAGAGAAGTTATTTTGAGAACAAATAAAAATAGACTCCGAAGATTGAAAGGTAAATCTATCACATTCATGCAATGATTTTTTCTCTTCTCTAGTATCTTTTATATTATGAGTTTGCCATGCATCAACATATACCATCCAATACACAATCGTTTAGGAATATAGATGTCTGTTTGGATATACAGGTAGTCCTTGACTTACAACCACAACTGAGCCCAAAATTTCTGTTGCTAAGTGAGACAGTTGTTAAGTGGGTTGCAAAGGGTTATCACATGATAGCAGGAACCGTCATAAATATGAATCAGTTGCCAAGCACCCAAATTTTGACCACATGACTATGGGGATGCTGCAATGGTTGTAAGTGTAAAATATGGTCATAAATCACTTTCTTCAGTGCTGTTGTAACTTCAAACAATCACTAAATAAACTGTTATAAGTCAAGGAATACCCATATAGATGGATATGATGGATATATAGAGCAACATATCTGTCAGAGAAACCTATGTTGACATATGGAACCAATGTTGTGAAGCAGAGTCTCATTGTATATTTATGGAAACTGGTATCATTTATATAGCCATAATATAGTTGGAAGGACACACTTTGTATATTTTAAGTTAGGAAACATGGAAAATATGATATAGTACTATGAATGGTACAGATAGCAGTAAAGAATCTTACAACATATTGAGCTGTGACCTAGGAGCTATCAGTCTTAATTTTTCTTAGTTTTTCAGCTTGACTTGATTTTTTTTAAAGTTTGCAGTAAAAAATACTCATGTATTTTTATGCCTATTTCGTTAAGCATCCATGTTTTTGTATGTATTGTGTGTCTAACATAATATTTACAAATACATTTGACCAATATGAGAATTTTTACATTATTTTTACAAATTTATGTTTTTGTGAGCAAATGTCAGTGAGTTTAACATTCTAAATGCTTATGCCATGCAAAATTCAAAAATAGCTATGTTTATGTATTAATTAAAACATTCAAAGTTAAATAAATGTTCATAAATTTGCCAGATGTGAGCTGAAAAATTCCTGGCAGGAAAAAGAAATTTTAATTTCTAATATCTTGGGACCATCCAGATTTTTCCATCCCAAATCTAGTAGCCCTATATTTACATTTGAAAAAGTTCAATTTTTATATATATATATCCCCATCTCAGTTGAGAGTTTCCTTATCCATATACATATACAGTGTGGTTTGATACTGGTCTTTCTATAATTTCCTAAAAAGCAATCCTTTGCATCATTTAAGTATATTAATGTTTGATACCAAAACTCTGATTCTTAGTAATTCTCAATCATCAGTACTTATGCAGTAAAATTTTGGATGGTATCTTAAGAAATTAATCATTGTTTGGGAAATATGTGCTAAATATGTATGACTAGCCACAAAAGACAGGTAACCTCCTACTGCACATTCTAGGTCCATAGTGATTATATTTATTGTTGTATTTTCTTTTTAGAATATAATTCTGTAAGAATGGAAAAGTATTATAAAAATGAGATTTTACTACTGCGTTTTTCAACAAATTGCATGCAATAAAATAAATTTCTCTTGTTTACCATCTTACTGAAATGTAGCTGTGCCTAAGAGATGGATAATTTAGTTTCAGGCAGAGAGAAGAAACCATGCTCAATCTGTCATTTAAATGACTAATCTTTCCGGCTAATCTTTCTTCTCTAGCGTATGTGCACAAGGATAGTTTAAGAGATCCTTCATGTGACGGAGAGAGAAAAAAACTGGCCGCAGAAGTTTTAATATGTATAGATTTTGTCTTTGCTTTGGTTTCTTGAATATTTCTTTACAATTTTACTGAAAGCTGGTAACAAGTAGTGGTTTCCTGTTTTTAATTACCACTCTGGGACACAATCTGTTACAGAGTGCTAAGGATGTGGAAAGGCAGACAAAAATGTTCCATCATTAAGAATGGATCTTAGGCTCCCCGTGACACATATATCACATAGCTCCATGGAGACTATCCTACGTATCCCATCCCCCCCCCCCCCCGAAGCTTTTAGAAGGGCAAATTGAACAAACACGAAGAAACATATTCTCAATCCCATTTAGGAGACTGTTTTATTCATATCCAGATCACCAATCTTATACAGTAGATCTCAGCCCAAACATGCAGGCTTTAGCAGATGGGAAGTATAGGAAAATGAATTCAAATAGGCTTGTGTCCTAGGGCATTCATTTTTGTTTGTTTGTTTTGAGGACAAAGCGAAAGAACTCCATAGAGGCACATCCTCAGTTATCTTATATACTGTAACTGAAACCAAAATGAGGATAGTTGGCCTACAGACCGAAAACTGCCATTAGCACAATATTTTTTTTAAAATCGCTTCTATATAATTATCAAACTAATTGCCCAGATAAGTGCATTTCAGTTAGCAGAATAGAGTGTCGCCATGAAATCACTTTATTTTAGTCCAAATAAATGTCATTCCCTTACAGTAAGATAATGCGAAACTTTAGTATAGATTCAAATTGGCAGAAGATTGTGGTGGTTAACTTTTGTAAGTAGAGGTTGGGTTAGCTTCTGTTTACTGAAGGATTCATTGAAACCTGCAGTTTGACGAAATGTCTAAACTTTGGTGTACAACTATATATTTGGAATTGTATTTTCTCTTCCGTTCTTTGGATATTGCCATTTGACTACAATTATTGTCTAAGGCAGTGTTTCTCAACCTTGGTAGCTTGAAGATGGGTGGACTTCAACTCCCAGAATCCCCCAGCCAGCAGCGCTGGCTGGGGGATTCTGGGAGTTGAAAGTCCACCCATCTTCAAGCTTCCAAGGTTGAGAAACACTGGTCTAAGGTAAAACTAATTTGTTTTAAATTATTTTTTCTAGGAAGCGGAATGTGCATACACGTTGTTTGTGGTTGGTGTCTTCTGGCTTACAGAAGCTTTGCCTCTGGCTGTTTCTGCATTAATTCCTGCTTTAATGTTTCCACTGTTTGGAATATTGCCTTCAAAAAAGGTATATCTCTTCTATTTGTTTGTTTCTTTTTCTCTACTGTTACTCCACCAGTCAGTCAATTTATATTTCAAAGATTAAAGTGCACATACTCTCTTTGATCAGATGTTGGTTTATAACAGGGGTGGGCAACTGTGGCCCTTTTCCAGCCTGTGGATTTCAACTCCCAGAATTCCTGAGACAGCCAATTCCTGAGCTGTCTCAGGAATTCTGGGAGTTGAAGACTACAGGTTGTAAAAGAGCCACAGTTGCCCACCCCTGGTTTATAAGGTGCCAAATGCTAAAAGGAGGGCTATGAGATCTAAACTGCAAAAATCCAGAGCACCACTAGGCTAAAAAAGATAACACAATTCCGATTCTTTGCTTCCATCTAGCTGCTATTTTTTTTTTCCTTTAATATATATGCCGCCCTTCTCCGGAGACTCAGGGCGGCTTACAATGTGTTAAGCAATAGCCTTCATACTTTTGTATATTTATACAAAATCAGTTTATTGCCCCCACAATCTGGGTCCTCATTTCACTTACCTTAGAAAGGATGGAAGGCTGAGTCAACCTTGAGCCTGGTGAGATTTGAACTTGCAGTAATTGCAAGCAGCAGATGTTAATAACAGTGCTTTAGTCCATGTACTACAGGCTCTTCTATTTGTGGAACCAATTAAATAATCCTACTAAAAAGCCCTGAGTTCAGTTAGAACACATCTTGAAACTATCCTGGCTTGCATTTATTTTTACATTAGAGATGATTGTGAGGCAGAAATTTAAAAACAGAGCTAGTCTGGTACAAGGTTAATAAAACAAGGCTAAAACCCAGGAAACTGTGAGTTCTAATTCCAGTTTAGGCATGAAGCTGCTGGGTGACCGTGAGCCACTTACTCTCTCTCAAGGTAGTGATAAACCAATTCCAAAAAAATTGCCCAGAAAACTGCAGGAACACAGAAGGATGACTGAGCAGGCTACATTATGATGACGCTTGCTTATGATACTAAAAACAAAATCACTTTTCATGAACTGAGCCATAGAATGACACTGATATCACTTAGACAACTAAAATACTAAGAAGTGAATGAAAATGACTTCCTACATTCACAATCTAAATTTATCCTACAGTTCCCTAATTCTTATTAGCTCCATTTATTTTATTTATCTCGTATTTCTCTCAGATGATGGGCACTGCAGCCACTAACCTGCATCTTTCTCCAAAACTGCTTCATATATATTTTTTGTTTTAAAAACTCTTTTTTAGTTCCAGATGATTTTTGTGTTTTGAATGCAAAAGTTTAAAAGCATGCACTTAGCTAATAAGACACATTTTGATTTTTAGGTAGCATCTGCTTATTTTAAAGATTTTCATCTGCTCTTGACTGGCATAATTTGTCTGGCAACGTCAATTGAAAAATGGAATTTGCACAAGAGAATTGCCCTGAAAATGGTGATGCTGGTGGGTGTTAACCCTGCATGGTATGTAGCACACACGTGTGTGTGTGTTTGTTTGTCTGAATGTATGAAGATGCCATTGAAATTCCATTTGGCTCAGAAATGACTCTGCTTTGCAGCACAGTTGCTTCCTCTTTTCTTGATATTTTGTTGTCCATTAGCAACCACACACTGGAAAGAAATTCAACAAGTGCTGCTTTAGTACAGTTTCACTGTTACAAAGAGGATAAGAAACAACGGGGCAAGTTGAGCTGTAAGGCATTGCCTGTTTACATACCAGGATTACTGCTCTATTTGGCTGCTAAAGAGATTTGCTACGACCAGCCTTTTGCTGAAATTTAATTATATGTATCATTGGGGCGAGAAGACAAGTTGCACATGAAAAGCTTCTGTTATTGACGATAATGGTGGATGGCTTGGAACGAAATAGCAGACGAACTAGTGAACAACTCTGACTCATCCTCCTTAATGGCTGAGATTAGGCAACCCACGAGATCTTTCATACACTGCATCACTATTATTCAATTTATAGTTTAGGTAGTTCCAGCAGCAATTTCAGACTCGGAGGAATATTCTGCCTTTTTCCCAATTTGCCGACTGTTCTTACAAAGAAGAAATTAAACCCATGCTGTGCTCTTTTTTATTGCTCTCAGGGAGTCAGATGGCCCCTACTGTCTCTTGTCAATCCCATCAGCAAGTCAAAAAGGAGTTTGTAAGCACAGCAGGCTCCCTGAGTCTGAATTGCCAGTGGCTGCTGTGATGGGGAAGCAATAAGCTGTCACTTACCTCTTTGATTGCAAATTAGCAATGTTAGCTAAAGCAGGAGCGTTTCCCCTCCTGATGTTCGATGTGGGTGAACAGGAAGCCACGGTAAGAGCTGGTAGATGTGCTGATGCATTCCTACCAGCAAACATACAATACTAGCAAAAAAAGAGGTGGTCCTTCAATTGCACAGCAGCCATATTGATACTTTGCACCTGTAGACATTCTGCTGGATACCATGGGATGGATCCAAAAGTAACCATATCTAGCCATTTGGGGTGATCTAGAAAGCTAAGTAGGGTTAGCCTTGAAAATATTTGTATGAGAGGTCACTAGGAAACTTTATGCCAATATAGAATAGACTAGTGTTTCTCAACCTTAGTCATGTTAAATTGGGTGGCGGGGAAATTCGGGAATAAAGGCGGATATACATATCCCAGGATAATGTTGCAAGATACAATCTGGGTCAGTCACAAGGACCAGAGGTTTAATCCCCTGAGCTTTCAGACTTGTGTTGGAGCCCATTCTCAGGGAATTTCTCCCTAGCAGTGTGTGTGCTTTGGACTATTCCAGTGATGGCTAACCTTTTCTGGACCGAGTACCCAAAGCGCACATGTGTGTGCGCGAATGCATGCATGCACGCCCAAACCACCCAAATGCAATGCACATGCAGACCCATGCATGTGTCCTGGCCCTGCACGTGCACATGGCCCCGCATGCGCCCGCCCCCATGCATGCACATGCTTCCCACATGCACTCCACCCCCTGTGCATGCGCGACAGAGACCTGATAACAGGTGGTTGGTGTGGAGGTGCACACATGCACAGAGAGCTGAACTGGGACGACGGCTCACATACCCACAGAGAGGGCGCTGTGTGCCACCTGTGGCACACATGCCATAGGTTTGTCATCATGGGACTATTCTGTTTGTTGTAGTTATATGGTGCCTGGTGTGTGGATTTTTAGTAGTTGATTAGCTTGATGATGGCTACCTATTAAGTTTCCTTATGCTGCCAAGCCTTCATCTCCCAAGTACTTGATACAGATGGTGGTAAAGCTGGAGTTTATGTCCATCCATCTTAAAGTGGCTAAGGTTGAGAAACATTGAAATAGACTAAAAGTACATTTTTTATACTTATCTTCTCAGAGAAGTATAAGCTAAGCTTATACTAAGCTACAGTTCTATGGATATATGTCTCAGTACTTAGTTATGTAAATTACACATTTAGACTATAATACTGTAATCAGTTTCCCTAGACCCAAGTATTTTAAGTGTCATGTCACATGTACAATGACCCTTTATTTCTCTTTGCAGTAATGCGAGTATATAACATGAAATATGCAAAGTATATTTCAAACAAGAATAATTGACAGTAAGCAATATTTTTTTATTGTGAGACATAGTGGTTCAGTGGCTAAGACGCTGAGTTTGTCAATCGAAAGGTTGGCAGTTCAGCGGTTCGAATCCCTAGTCCTGAGTAATGGGGTGAGCTCCCGTTACTTGTTCCACCTTCTACCAACCTAGCAGTTCGAAAGCACATAAAAAATACATGTAGAAAAATAGGGACCACCTTTGGTGGGAAGGTAACAGCGTTCCGTGCGCCTTTGGCGTTTAGTCATGCCAGCCACATGACCATGGAGATGTCTTCGGACAGCACTGGCTCTTCGGCTTTGAAACGGAGATGAGCACCGCCCCTAGAGTCGGGAACGACTAGCACATATGTGCGAGGGGAACCTTTACCTTTACCTAATATTTTTTATTACACACATATAGACTTGCTTGGTTGCTCCAATGTCTAGAATTACAGCCTAAACCTCATGATTTTGTGATTTCAAATTAGTAAAAAGTTCAGATAGACAATAGAAAAATAAACAATACATTTATCTAGAATTTCCTTTATAACCTGGTTGTCTTCATACTATTAAATATATATACAGAATAAAACCCAAAAGTAATGATGATTTAATGTTGCATGTAAAGCTTCACACTTCTTCTCCAATCATACAAGTGAGTGAACAGGTCACAAAGTTTTAATTTATTATACTTTTTGATTTAGTTTGGTCTGGGAAGTTATACCAAGGAAACATTACAAAGTTAATAAGCTACAGCTGCCCCATGCATCTTTCCTTATCATCTATAATGACTTTTCCCAGAGGGAAGCTAAATAAATTGATCTTTCTTATGCTTATAATATGGTTTTTGGAATTAAACATATTTGAAATTCCTTCCACTGGAGATGACATATTCATCATAATTGACTTATGCCTTTGAATTGTTCAGTCCTGCAACCATCAGTCTTGATATCTTCATGCTTGCATGCATTATATTTTATCAAGTCAGCATTTTGATCAAATAATATTTTATACACTTTTCTGTAAGAGAAATAGAATATAGATTTGCCTTCAGATAGTATTTAATTTAACTGAATTAAATCAAATTAGTTTGCTAGGTTGGGCAGAGTTTTTTTATTACACAGTAGTATTGTCATCAGTTGTAAATTTGTCAATGAACTCAAAACTTTTGGCAGCAAATTGCTGTTGCATTTTCACAGTGGGTTTTTTAATGGAGTATATTTGTGTTTAGTAGTATTCTTTAATATTACTGAATAAGCTATTATCAACTTTAACAAAAGTTTTAAAAGAAATTTTTACTTTAGAAATTTATTAATAAATGCATATAGCTTAGACACTAGAAACATACTCTGTTCAATATAGTTTGTGAATGACAGAATCAATGTTCGTATATAGTAGAAATGAAGAAAGTGGCAGAAAGTATTTATGGAAGAATTGGATTTTAAAATGTAATGGACATCACTGATTAGGGTAATTTGAACATGCAATAAAGCATTTAAGCAGTTTATTTAAAGCTGCTGGATAGCACTTGTTATAAGCAAAGAGTATTTGTAGAAACATTCATAACATAAAACCTATGGATACCACCAATGTTGTACACTACTAGGGACCCAAATATGTATAAGTAGAAACCTGAATTGTTTAAATGTGATTTTAATAGCAAAAATGTCAGTTTTTCATATTTGGAAGAGCCAGGTATTCTAAATAGTATGTAGGAGTGTCAGACGCATTCATTTTGAACGATGTTGAAACTGTCAAAAGCAATTGCAGTATACATATGCCTACAGTATACATATGCCTCAGTATGCCTACAGAGCTGAGGTGGCGCAGTGGTTAGGGTGCAGTACTGCAGCTACTTCAACTGACTGCTAGTTCAGCGGATCAAATCTCACCGGCTCAAGGTTGACTCAGCCTTCCATCCTTCCGAGGTGGGTAAAATGAGGACCCAGATTGTTGGGGGCAATGTGCTATTTAGTATACTGTCTTTGGTGTAAGCCGGCCTGAGTCCTTGGAGAGTGGGCGGCATAGAAATATGAATAATAAAATAAATAAATAAACAAACAAACAAACAAATAAATAAATAAATAAAATATATATTTACCTGGAGATACAGTTTCACAAATACAAAAATATTGCTGCCTACAAATCTTTTCATTTCATAAGGAATACTAAAACATTTGAAATTATGTTTCTAACACTTTTTCCCTCTCTCAGCTCCTGGCCCATCTAATTGTCAAAACTATCCAGCTACCCCAGATTCTCTCCAATTCAGTGCCTCTACAGATTTGTAAAGGGAGATCATGCGTGTGGTTTGTTCCCTGGTGGCCGGCCTTCTTACGCAGACTTTATGATTTAGAGGAAAAAACTAGCAACATGTACTGTTTTCAAGAAATTGTGTTCTATTGCTCTTTGTTGTGCCAGTAATCAGTCAGATATTCAGTGAAGTGTGTTTGTGAACTGATGTATGTGCTCATGTGTATCTGTGCATAGATTGATAACAAAAAATGATTTAGATACTTGGTGAACTGAGATGTTAGCAAAGAAAGCCAGCAGCTTGTTAGGATTTATGATTAGAGAATTACTTGTTGTATAGCAGAAACCAGTGACCTTTGGGGGGCGGGTGTGTCAAGGAATTTGCACACTTTGGAGTTAACAGACTAATGAGAGAGTCACAGAGTCGGTGAGGATATAGAAGCATGTGGGTTTGGAGGACATTCGGGGTGCTTCTATTTTAAAATTGTGACTTGCTTGTCATGAGCAAAATTGAAAATCTCATTTATTTCCTATTTCAAAATCAAAAGAAAAACTATATACCGTCACTTTTCAGTCGTCTTGGAGGGGCTCTTGAAGGCGTTAGGGGTTGGTTTCTTCATCCTTGCTATACGGGCTCATTAAAAAGCTCAGTGAAA